CTTATGACCCAGGTCAGGTGGCAGTGGCTGTTGCTTCCCTGGGAAGGTCTTTATTTCTTCTGTCTCTTGAAGCACAGCTTTTCCAGACACAGTGGACCCTTTACCCACAAATTCAGCCTGCTCCCAAGGGCTGGCTGTACCCAGGCTGCTGACTGCAGGCTTGGGCTCCTCTGCCCAGCCTTGTGAGTCTGCGGTGCACAGGTGGATCTCAGGGTCTTGAGGGAGATATGCTGGCCCACGGTTCTCAAACCTATGCAGGAAAGGGTGTTGTCATGCTCCTTCCAGACTCTTAGGGTTGAACCTTTGTCTGAGCCCATGTAGAACCACAAATGGCCAGCATTCAGGTAATAACTCAAGACTTTGGCCTTATTTAAGCTAAAACTAAAATTTCAGTCATAACCCAAATTGTTTGTATGTCAGGCCAGTGGTAACTCGAGGGTCCACTATATAGTATTCTTGGCTGGCAGTTTTTCTCCGCATTTTGAATATGTCACTTGTTCCCTTCTGGACCTAGTTTTCTGCTGAGAAATCTGCTGATGGTCTTCGGAAGCCCCCTGTACATGACAGATGGCTTTTCTCTTGCTACTTTCAAGAATCCCTGTCTTTGACTTTTCACAGCCAGATTATACTGTGTCCTCCCAGGGACCTCTTGGTGTTCATCTTAGCTGAGAGTCTGTTCGGTGCTTGAATTTGAACATCTTTTCTTCCTCAGATTTCAGAAGTTTCAACTCTTATTTCTTCAGATAAGCTCTGTTCCCTTTTCTCTCTTTTTTCTTCTAGAATGCACCCAATTGATGGTATGCTATCAAGCTTTATTTTTTATTGTTCCTTTTTGGTTTCATTTTGTTCTGTTCCTGTGAGCTGATAGTTTAAGATTTGCTTATTCTTCTGCCTCATGCAGCTGCCGAGCTCCCTGGGGAATGTCTCCACCTGAGTTTATGTTCCTAGGGCACAGCCCTCGCATCTCTGAAAGCTGCTCTTTCATGCACATACTCTGGTGCTGGCTCTGCAGCCCAGGATTTTCTTCTGGTGGCATCAAACTTGGCATTGGCCTGTCTCGGGACTCCTTTGGGGGGTGGCTGTTGCTGTGTCGGGGAACCTGATCACTAGGTCCTGTCCACAGTTCTGGCAGCTTCATAGGTCATGCCATCACCTGCCTTTTAGCACATCTATTTCTGTTTTTTCAGGAACCTTTGGGACAGGTGAGCAGTAGGTGTAGATGCTTGATCCACAACCTTACACTGGAAATGCCTGGAGTAGTTTTCTTGAAAGTAAATCCGTAGTTATTTTTCTCAATCTGTGCTTCTTTAGTCCTTTTTATAAATTGATATCTGACTTGTAATTTGTCTAAGAATCGGCAGAGGATGTGTTTTGAAGGGGTTTCTGTGTGCAGTTGAGGCTGGGCTTTGAGTGGGAAGAAGTAATGCAGTGGACGTGACACTTCGAGCCTCAGACTGGCTTTTCCGAAGCCTGAGGGCTCAGCCCCGTTTGCATTTTCTGTTTCAGAATCGATAGAGTTGGTGCCACATCGCTGCAGCATCCAGCTTTTCCAGCCGTCACATCAAGCGGTTTCTAGTTTTAGCGAAATAAAGTGGTTCTGCTCACTGTGCCTGGCACGAGAGTGTGCAGGTGACCAAAAGTGTGCAATGACCATCGGAGGTGGGATGGCCCTTGGCCCTGGCAGTGGAAGGCGTTGGGCACAGGTGCCCTCTTCTATGGTTCTGTTCTTTTCTCCTTTCCCAGCAGAGCTTGCTGTATTCACTGCGTAATGCAAATTACTGTGGGCAGCCGACCTCCTTGTGTGTTAGTTTTTAAATTCTGCCCATTTCCAGGCCCACAGGCACACACCCCAATTTATTTTCTATCAGATATGATTTTTGTGAGTTGTACTTTAATGGAAGATTGTCGGTGAACAGTCACAGTCTTAGCCTACAAAATATCTCCTGTTGTCATTTTCAGTATGTTTTTCTTCAAACATGAGTGATTTGTTTCATCTTAGGTTTTTCTTTAAATAAGCAAGTCAAAACAGCAAAATACTTCTCATAATTTTTTTCTTTGATCAGTTAACATTAAGCAGTTTCCAGCCTTGAGATAGGGTGACTGCATGGGAAATACAAACATTTTTTAAAATGGATCTTTGAAACCCAGTGCTATTAAACGTTATTTAGGCTTCCAGGCTAGACCATGAGACTTGCTTAGTCCATCATGGTGACTTGGGTTCTGGATCATGGGTGAAAGAAACCAGTCAGAAAGAGATGGCACGGCAGAGGTCTCGGTCATGCTGCCCGGTTCCGGAGGCAACTTTGGGTCCTTCCTGCTCCTCTGCCTCCTCTCCTCAAAGCTGTTTCCTTCCTGCAGAAGCTGGTGGGTCTCTGCTGTGTTGTCTTCTCGCCCCAGCCCCAGCCCCAGGGATGTAGTGTGAGTCTCACCCAGGCCAGACGAGGTAGACGAGAGGAAGCAAACTAACCAACCGTGCTGGAGTGGTTAATGCCGGTTTCACTTTTTAAAGCGATGTGTGCTGAATAAATATGCACAGTTGCCCCGGAAACTCCCTGATTCCAGGTGGGATCCAGACAAGTATGACCATCAAGGTAAGGTAGGGAAGAAGTGAGCTAGGGCTGGGGCTTTAGGGTTAGAGTTTTGGGGTTAGGTTTAGAGTTTTGGCTTTAAGGTTAGGGCTAGAATTAAGGCCATGGCTAGGCCACCAGCTCACTCTCCAGCTGCTGGCGTTGTGCGCTGATCGCAGAGCAGCCTCTCACAGTGGTTGTGTTCCTGGACTGTAGGTGAGAAGGCAGATTCTCTGAGTGGCATGTTTTCTGCTGGGTTCTGCTGGCTGGGCTCGCAGACAGCCGTGATCAGGTAGAGTTAGAGACCTGCGGAGTATGTGTAATTCATCTGCTCTGTGAGGAGTTCCTATGTTCTTTTCTACCTGCTGCTCCCCTGCTATGTAAAAAGAATGTGTGACCACCAAAGTCCACTGAGAAAGGGACTGCCTCTAGGGCCACCATCCAAAGAAACCATTGTAAATATGTCATATTTTTGGGAAAATAAACTAGAGAATTACTCACAAGAACACTGCAGTGTGTGTTTAGGCCCATTAACCTGGCCTCCTGTTGGGATTAAAGTCACCAAGCCAGTGCCAGCTTTTCTCAGCCTTATGCATAGTTCATGTGGAGACCTGGAGACCCAGCCCCAAAGTCTGTGCCCCTTCTTCAGCCCCGTTGCCAGCCCCGCCCCCAACACTGAGGGAAGCAGCGCTGTCCCTGCTGGATTGCTTTGCTTGGTTTTGTTCTTTAATTCTCACCATGATGCTGAGGAGGATGTAGGTGCACCTGTTCTTAATGGAGGAGGACGGGACGGGGCCAGCAACTTGTCCTTGATGGGCCTCCGGCCATCTGAGGCCACCCGCTTTCTGAAAAATTGGAAGATTTCATTTCATCCACTAACTTATTTTCTGTCTGCTACATCCACCAAGGTTGTCTTAGCACCATGTCCCTGTATGCTAATAGAATCAGACAAGGGCATAATTTAATGTTTTCTTGATTTTGTATTTATACTTTGTGGTTTACAGCCAGGTTCTTACTCATTATGTTCATGCAGTTCAGAGGTGTGACCTATGATGGTGTCTGACCATCAGGCTGGCCTTGAACTCACATATCCCGTGGTGCCTTGAATCTGCAGCAGTCTTCCCGTCTCAGCCTCCCACTTGCTGAGATTACAGGCATTTGCCACCACACCCAGCCCGTGTTGTGCTCTTCCTGTGGGCCCTGAAGGTCACTCTTCCTGGGTTGCTTTGGCTGTGCCTTACACTGACTGAAACCTGCTGGCTCAGGTCCCCTCGAGGCCTGCCGTAAGCACCAGGCCCTGCTTGGCCACATCTTCTGTTGAACTGTGCTGTCCTGGCGAGGTGCTGATCTCCATCTCATGCCTCTCCAGAAGACACTCACGTGTTATTTATTTTCCTCCTCCTTTTAAAAATATTGCAATAATAAATTCAATTAATTTTTTCAACCGTCTCTTTTTTCTGTCAGAAATTCAATGTGACATTTCGTGTAGTCTGCCCTGTCTCTCACTGATTTTCTCAATGATTTTTTCATTCTTATAAAAGTTGACAGCTTTGCCAGGTGTGCTGCCACACACACTTGAAACCCTAGCACTCTGGGAGGCTGAAGCACGAGGCTTAGAATTGAGCTTGTGCCTGGGCTGAGCCCGCAAGACCACAGAGCAGCCCGCAGTTTTCCCCTGTTGTGATCCCTGCTCTCACAGCAGAGGCTTCTTTCTGAGTGTTCAGGTGTCCCTGGATGCCCACCTCAGACCACAAGGTGGCGCCACCTTGGAGAAGCAGCCCCAGTGGAGGCCGTCTGTCTGCAGGGCAGCGTCCTGATTCTAGCAGGGCTGTTGTGTAACAATAGACTGATAGTTGGTACCTGGTTGGGTTACAGGAAGCTTCCTCATTAAGCATGCAGCTGGTGTCGGGAGGAGGAGTGTCCTGGCCAGGTCAGAAGTTGCGTGTTGGAATCTCCACCCCTGCCCTGCTCTAGGTGGAGTCCTCTGGGTGAGGTGACAAGATTTCTCATTCTGCTCATCAGCACTGACTGTGCATCTTGTTGACTGCTCCTGGGGTGTGCAGGGTCCGGCGGTTCCTGTCAGCCATAGCTGACCCTGCCATGTGGCCCAGTGCAGGTCCTGGGCAGAGGCTGGTGCGGCTCCGCCTCGAGTATGTCAGCTCAGGCATTGAGGGACAAATGTTGACAAATGTCACGTGGTACTTTGGAATAGCCTTTGTTTTTCTGTAAAACACTGAGAGTGGCATCTGGTATTGAGTGATGGAGGTGACTGACTCTTCAGAAGAATGAAGCAGCCAGCAGTCATTGAGTGGACCGCAGTGGGTGGACTGCAGGCTGCTTGGCCATCAGCAAGTGCTGAGGTTGACTCAAGGCCCCCACGGCCTTAGGGCTCAGTGTGCCAGTGCCCACCAACTCCTGTCCCTTCTCTTCCAGCATGCACTCCTGGCTCTGAAGTTCATCCTTGCTTTTGCCATCCCGGATAAACCACGCCACATCCAGGTGAAGCTGGCCAGGCTGGAGTTTGAGTCTTTGGAGGCCCTGAAGCAGCAGGTAAGAGATGGGAATGTCCAGTGTTTCTTTAGTGAATGACAGGAACAATTCCCAGGGACTGCGTTTTTCTCCACACTGTATTTATTACTAATATAAATAAATATGGAAGATCCATTTAGGATGCCACAACCAAACCTAGATGCTAACCACATGAGCAGCAAACTGGTTGAAAGGGCCGCACTCAGCAGACAGAAATATTCAAGCAGAGGTAATAAATAGCAGAGCGAAAGAACAAGACAGAAGTCTAAGAATCACCGGGCAGCTCCCTCGTCTTGGATTCCACCCTGCAGAAACAGCGGGGAGGAGACTGTGTAATAAAATCCTACATGATATCTTGCAGAGCACAAGGAGGAATGAAAACAGTGGGGAGAAGCAGCAGAAATTGCCATGAAAGGAGAAACTGCTTCTCAGTGAGTTCCACACTGTCCAGTCGGGGAGGGGAGGGAGAGAGACCTGCCAAGGAGCAGGCACCTCGAGAGCCCCGCTTGGGGGGTTCTCTGCTGTGGGGCGGAGTCCTGGATGCCCAGAGTGGCTGGTCTCCAGGGAGGCCTAGGAATCGAAGTAAGGAGGAACGCAGGAAAGTGGTGTCTCTCAGTTCTGGGACCCTTGCCCTGCAGTCCCTTCAGCCTCCAAACCACTTTGCACAAGAATTTTTCTCCTGGTGCCTGAGGAGCTGGGAGGAACAGCAGGCAAAAGGACCCAGGCTAACTGCCCATAGAGGGGAGAGACCTCTGCATCCAGGAGCATGTGCCACACCTAGGCAGGGTCACCCGGAAGAGAACTGGTGGGACCAGGATCAAGGATTGGAAACAGGGAGACCCCGTCACCTTGCCCAAGCTGTGTTCCTGTTTGTCACATAGTTGGTGAGAGGAGAAACAAAGCCGCCGTGTTCCCTGCAGGGAGCGTAAGGTCACTTTTAGCACGTGAGCCAGAGGACCTGTGCCATAGACCAAAGCCAGCATTGAGCTCTGCAGCGAACACCAGAAGCAGAAGCGTTCATAGCCCAGGCCGCCACTGGGTCAGCTTTGTTCGCAAGACGCTGCCGAGGCAGCACATGAGAGCAAGGGACTGAGACCTTCGTGTTGGTCGGGGAATCAGTGCACCATCTCTTAGGGATACGAGGATCTCACAAGGATCTCAGGGGAGTTCAGTTACCAGAGACAGCAGGACAATTCAGCAGGACGATGGAGTCTACATAAAATAATGTGCTTCCTTTCATAAGAAATAACAACTAGTTTAAAATGTTACTGAAGAATAAAAATCCCACTTACAGAAGAAACCTAATGTATACCCTAAAAAGCTCATAAATGTGGATAATCTATGTAGAGGAGTATTTTTTTTTAAGTTTCCCAGGATCAAAAAATTTAGTCTTGCAAAAACCCAGTGTCAGTGCAGATAGAAATAAACATTTGAGAATAGCAAGGACACTTCTGAAAAAGGAGAGAAGTAGGGTCACAAACTCTGCTGGACATTAAAATGTGTTCTGAATAATAATTAAATGCATTTTGAATTCAAGAAGAAATAGATCAGTGGAATAGAGCAAAGATCCTAAATGGACCCAAATAAAAATGGGTACAGTGATGGTAACAGTGACATTTTGTGTCAGTGGGGAAAAGATTGATCGTTACCTGGTTTGATGACCGACAAGCATGTTAGAAAATCACTTTATCACTTTACCTATGCGTTGTTTTCCACCAATCCCACACTCAGATAGTTGAGCCTCAATGTAAAAATATAAAAAATTTTTTAAAAGCTATTTTTAAAAACTCAGAGATGTCTTTCCATGTGAAGTGCCTTCCTAGGCAGGACAAAATCCCCTAAAATCTTAAAGGAAAATACTGACAAAGTAAAATACATGAAAATGTAAAACTTCTATATGATAAATTAAAAAAAACCTCAAAAGATAAATTGGGCAAGCTGGGAAAATATTTGCATGTCTGACAAGGGTTAATATCTTTAATTCAAAACAGTTCCACAAACTCATGAAGAATGATAGCCCATTAATTAAGGCTAACACATGGAGAGATGCCCACTCTCCCTCAGATAAAGAAGTGTAAGCTCCAGCACCAGGGAAATCCTACTGTCTCGGTCACTGTCCTGTCAGGGGACACAATGCCCAAGACTCACAGTGTAAAGGAGAAATTTATTCGACTCAGTTTCTAGTGGGTCCAGTCCACTGGCGCCAAGGCAGACACACGTGGTGGGAGGTCCTGGAGGCAGAGGACGGCTGCTCACCTTCCTGCAGCCAGGAAGCAGAGAGGAGGGTGGAGCCAGGGGAACAGGACCCTTCCAGGTCACACCCCAGTGACATGACCCCACCTCCTAGCACCAGACTTTGGGGGACATTTTAGATCTAAGCCATGACAGCCATACTGTCTCATTCTGTTGACAAATGGGCTAAGGACCTCTGCCATGGCTATGGGAATGTGTGCTCCGTCACATGCTGTTGGCAGAAGCATGAGTCAGGTCAGCCTTTCTAGAATGCACGGGACCCAAAATGTAAATGACTGCGCTGCATGGAGAGCTCACCCCTGCAGCAGACCAAACCCGGGCCTGGAAACGCTTCCTGTGACAAAGGCTTGGAGGCCATTGACTTCCTCAGTGAGAGACTCATTAAATAAGTTCCAGCATATCTGTGGATTAAAATTTTATGACCCTGCTTTTTTAAAAAAGTCCTTTGCCGGTGTGTTGTGTGGGTGGAATGCACACATGCCCTGGCTGTTCTATATAAAGAACAAGAAGCTGTCCTCCAGTGAAACTGCAAAGTACAGGAGGAAGGAGTGAGGAGAAACGGCAGCTGCCGGCAGGGGTATCTGTTCTTGCCAGGGCTCAGGTGGGCCCTCCTGGCAGTGGGGTGGAGACGTCCCCACGTATGACGCAAGTGTTCTGCTCCTGCACAGGCAGGCACTTGTTCCCGAGAGTCAACAGGGCTCCGCTGGGAGGGGGCCGTGTGTCAGCCGTGTGCCTTTCTACGCACACACATGAATGTGTGTAAAGAAGGGGTGAGGTCCCCCTCAGCGGAGCGGTCTCCGCATCTGTCCTCAGCTGTTTGTGGACACACAGCTTCTCCACATACTCCCTTTTTTTCCCCCATAAACATTCATACACTTTTGTTTTTTGGTACCAGGGATCGAACTTGCAGCCTCATGCTTGCCAGGCAGGCGCATGTGCTGTTGAGCTAAACTCCTGGCCCCAACATTCATACACTTTTTTAGGAATAAAAAAGTAAACATCCAGTGAAGTTTTCAGAATAAAATTTGACATTTCATGTATTTCACACATGAGCTTTGAGGCTGCAGGTGCAGTGCAGCGCTGGCCTGGCCTGGCCTCTGTCACTGCTGCTGCTGAGAAGTGGATGGTGGTCAGTGCCCGGATGTTAGTAGTGTGGATTCCAACAGCGGCTCTTCAGCACAGGTCCTTTGACAGATCGGAACCCGACTGTGCCTTTCCAGTAAAACTCCTTCCATGTACATGCCTGGGCCGTGCACCCTGAAGGCTGTGGTCCCCGAGTCTCAGGTGGGGTCAGGGGCCTGAGGTGGAAAAACCCCTCTTGCCCCTGCAGACTCCTTTTCCCAGTTCACACCCATGGTGAAGGTTGTTCCTGCTACTGCTGGATTTCACATGTCCACATATGCATGCGTGTGTGTGCGTGTGTGTGCACATGTGCGTGTTTGTGGAAGGTGATTGCATCAGGGATTTATCCATGGTGTGTTCAGGACTGTACATGCTGGCCAGCTGTGGCTTACTGGGAGGTGGTGGGTCGTGACCTGGGAGACCGCTTCCTGGCTGCCACGGGGTGAGCAGCTCCACTGGACTCTTCCACTGTGGGTCTCGGCTCCCCTGGACTCTTCTGCCATGGGTCTGCGCTTTAGGACTGGAACTGGGAGCCCCAGCACCTCTCTCCTTGAAGCCGCGGCTGTTGGGGGTTGGGTCCCCATCATGGGAAGGTGACAGCTTGGGTCCCTGATGTGTCAGGTGAGCACTGCAGACATGGCCAGGCTCAAGATATTTCATTTATGAGGCTCCGAGTCTCATAAGTGAAAGCTGGGTCTGAACTGTGGGAGGCCCCCAGTGAGACCTTTCTGCACCTATGGGTGCTGAGCCTGGAGCTCAGAGGAGGAGGGGGAGGGGCGCTGGGCCCAGCCAGGACCATGGAGCTCATGGCTGTCAGGTGGGAAACTGTGCTATTGCTAAATATGCAGACACATTAGATATCCGTAAAGGTGAGAGGCAGCCTGGGCAAGATGAAAGCGTTTACTTTGCAAAGGTCATTTTCAGATGCTGAGGCTCCGGTTGTTCAAGGCCTTTAGTAAGAAGTGGAGACAGTAAATACCACCCTGAGTGCCCTTTCCTTCCTCTTCAGGGTGATTTATTCACTCCTTAGTCATTTGAAAATCCAGTTAAAAATAGAAAGGTGTCTTACGCAGGAACCATTTGGTAGCTCGGTGGCCCAGAGCACAAGGCGCGGCCTCCCAGGACAGGACCTGTGATGTGGCCCCTGGGCAGCCAGCTTTGCCCCACCCCTGGGCACACTCAGGCCAGGAGCAGCAGCCACCCGAGCACCCAGCAGGACCGCAGCCTGGGAAACCTGTCGTCCTCTCTGAAAGCAGGAAGGATGGAGAGGTCCCAGCGTGCTGGTCTCAGCCCAGGGGTTTGGGTCGGGCGCAGGACCAGGCCTTGATGGCCCCCATGGTCGGCCCCACCTGGCACTGTGTTGGGCTGGAGACCTGGTTGGTGCCAGCAGACAAGCCTGCCTCAGGTGGGACCAATGACTGGGTCCACGTGCCCACCCCGCCCCAGCCCCGTGGCTGTGTGTCTGCCTGCTCTGTAGTGATTTCCCCAGCATTTGCCAGAGCTTGTGAGCCTTTCCTTCCCTGCCTCTGTGTGCTCAGTCGTCGATGTGGAGATGTGGAAGTGATTCTTTTTTTCTTTTTTTGTGTAGTGATTTTTAACAATGAGTGAGTGTAAGATCTCACTACCTCCATGAGGCTGCACCTGCTCGGCGTAAATTGAGCGGCCCAGGGGGTACGGGGCCTCAGCGCTGTCTGCTGAAGGTCCCTGGAGATCTAAACCATTCCAAAACCTTATGTCTCTCAGAAAGAAACATGAGTGAAATTTTGAGTCCAAATTAAGCATCAGCCCCTGAGACAGGCAGAGCCAGGGGCATGTCCTTGGGGAAGGGTGGTCTGCAGCAAGGCCCAGAGCCAGGTCCAGGCCTGGAGGCCTGGGGAAGGTGAGCGAGTGTGCTGGGTCTCGGGGTGCGATGGGCTTACCTTCCCTGAGGCAGCAGCATGGCCCCAGCCCAGGCCCCTTTGTCTTCTCCTCTAGTCACTGGAAGGGGTGAGGACAGAGAGGGGCAGCGGGAAATGTGTGCGGGCCCCAGGGTGCCCAGGGCAGAGGGGAACTGCGT